TTCAATTGCCAATTAATTATTGCAATTCTGACTTTGTTGCCTAAAAATAATGATTTTATATTGAACATAGAGTCAAGTAAAGCAAGTTTCTCTGCAAGGAAATGCCCTACTTCCATACATTCAAGATTTGAATAATAGAATTAGACACTACAAGGGCATCTTCATTCCTAGAGAAGTGAGACATATAAAATCCTGACTTACAGCTCTACTTTTGGAAGGATTCATCAATATATATATCTAACATTTTGTGCCCATTCTTTATTTTGAGTCACTTCCTTCACAATTGAAATTGTTCTTAACAAATATCTACTGCATTCCTACTATGTGTCAGGCACAGAGATCACCAAAGCATGGCCTCAACCCATGGAGCTCATCGTATTCTAGGAGACACTGACTGTTGTAACTACCTAATTACAAGTCACCAAGAGAAATGCTGTAATGGGAGTGGGTGCCAGCTTGGAGTGGTGCCACAGGAGACATAAAAGGGCACCTTACCCAGTCTTGGGAGCCAGAGCTTTCTACCTGAAAGCCTTATCTGTCATTGACCCTAACATGTGCTCTAGTTATTTGTGACTCCACATAGGTCTCCAAATTTGTCTTAGCCCTTATTGTCTCCTGGCCATTGTTTTTGCCATTATTTGTCCCTCAAATATCTCTCTTCACCTTTGTCACATAGCAAAACCTTCACATACATTCACCATATCATCCTTTTCTACTCCAATCAAAAGCCACTTGCCTTTCTTCTGTGTTAATGCCACTTATCTGTTCCACACATGGACAATTATTATATGTTGCCTTATAGGTAATTACCTGTGTACATCTTATCTCCTCTAGTTATTGAAATATTTTCATATTATCCACAAAATATAGCATGTAAAAGTGCCTTTTACATAAAAGAGGCTGATTTAGTATGACTAAATGCTAAATTTTTTTATAAAAACACTTTTCTTTCAATTATTTGAGAAACTTTATTGGGCAACAATTATAGGTGTTTATAATGCTTCAGTGAATAAAAAGAGATCCCTGCCCTTATAAAGATTGTGTTCCTTTGGGGGAGGTAAGTGAGGAGCTAGATAATAAACAAGCAAACAAACAAAAATAGAAAAGGAAGACCACTTATGGTAACCCTGACTAATAGGTATCTGGTTCTGCTTAGACATGTTCAGAGATAGGAAACTATTCTACTCATTTCTTGTTCAAAGGTTGTCCCTTAGTTATTGGAAATGAAACCAATTCAAAACCATGTAGAAAAAAATAACAATTTCAAAGTCCAAATTATGACTAAATATTTCCTAGTGCTATCTTTCAAATGTCTTAATTAACAAACCACATAAGAATTGATGATTTCCTTTCTTGCTTTCTCTCTAGCATTGGATCCTTCAAAATTAGCCTGAAGTACTAAGTAAAGAGATTCATCAACAATACACAGCTTACAAATTCAAGGCACTAAAAACTAAACCATATTGTGTTATATTGTGAATGATGAGGTTCAGAAGTCTCACACCTATTCAACGTTCAATTTTGCTTTAAATTAAAGATTAATTTAATAACTAAGTCACATGAGTGAAGTAGAGTTGAGAACAGAATCCAGTTTTCCATGGATATGCCTCAAGATGTTTCTATAACTTGTGAAATATCAATTTGCTTATTTCAGGACTGTCTTTTTTATTTTAGGAATATTTTCACAAATATTTGTTTTTATTTTTTCCATGGAAAAACAGAATGAAAAGGTTAAATATGTAGACCTTGGAGGATCCTATGTTGGGCCAACCCAGAATCGTATCTTAAGATTAGCCAAGGAGCTAGGATTGGAGACCTACAAAGTGAATGAAGTTGAGCGTCTGATCCATCATGTAAAGGTAAGTCTGGGCCAGACTCAGAAGGATTTGGAAGCTTCTTTATGGGTATTTCCTATGTGAGTTCCAGATCATTTTCTCAGAGAATCTTCTACATCTCTGGATGATGCATATGTATTTTATAAAGGTATTTCAGCCACTCTGAGAATTCATTCACTATTTTCAAAGGGGAATTAGGTGGGAATTCTAAACCTATTTAGAAAGGTTATTGATGGAGTAGTATTGTCCCTTTGGTAAAATATTCAACAAAATCCGTAGAGAAAA